TAGGGTTGGGAAACGTCATCAGCCCCGCCCCCCCCCGTCTGCCTGCTGCTCTTTCTTTTAATAAAAAAATATAGTAGTCTATCAAAACACAATTTTCAATATTTTAACAAATGAACAACAAAACAATACATTTAAGTTACAGCGAGGTCCTTAAATTGTTATAAAATAAGCAGATTTGAAATGATTCATGCAGTTCTCACAGAAAAAAAACTTTTTTGTTGTAAATTAAATAAATGCTGCTCGGTGATAATCCGCTTGTCCTAAAACTGTTTGCCAACCAAGAAGAATCCGCTTGTTAAGTGGTTCCATAACATCCTGCTTCTGGTGTTGTGTTGAGATCGGTTCCCCCGTCGAGATGTGTTCCCCCCTAACCTTATCCTAATCATAACCACACGGGGGCGCTACAAGACATGTATTTCGTTCTCCTCTTTTTCATATGCAGTGTTGTGTTCCCCACTGTTTCAGTATATCTGAATCAAACATCACGGGTCAGCTGGCATTTTACCGCTTTCTTTGGAATGGGAAGGAGAAAAAGTAATTTCTTCAGTTGATTATATGTCACCTTGTTCTTAAATTAATAAAAAGGCTTCTAAGAGTGTTTTGCTGCCTTGTAACGTAACGTTAGCTAACTAATTGGCACGAAGTTAAATTACATTATACATATATACTATAATAAATTTACTACCACATGTAATTAATTATGGTTATTATTATTTGGTTATTAATTAAGGCGATTATTATTATTATTATTATTATTAGTATGCCACCAGGCGGAAAGGCAACAGTGACTTCTTCTTCTTCTGTCGTTTAATGGCGGTTGGCAAACAGCTTTAGGTGCATTACCGCCACCTTCTAGACTGGAGTGTGGATCAGAACGGCCCCTACCTACTACTATAACAAATATAATTCAGTTCACATTATATTATATTGCTTAGCCCTGTACTCTCTAAAAACCTAAGTGCTCTGTATCCTATATCCCCTGAGCTTTTTCAGGCGATCAGCTGATTCTGATTCTTTTTCCCAACACCTCCAGTAAATTAAAGTTCATTTCCCCTGCTTAAAACATGTATTTCTGAATAACTCCCTCTCCCGCCTGTACCTGGGACAATTCATTATAACATGTTCCACAGTTTCTTCTACCCTACACAACTCACCAATATGTTAAACAACAATAACAGGTAATAGGCTACCTCTATTCTATTTCTAAGTAAGACTTTTGCTAGGAGTATTCCTACTTATCCCTAAGTAAAGGATTTGGATACTTGTTGCAGTACTGCAACTTACATACTTCTATAAAATGTGATACATAATAGATTAAACTATTCCCTTTTGGTGGCTGGGAAGCTACTGCAGGAAGTCTACCCCAGCCCATTGCATAGATTATGCCTGATAATCAACATGGTACAAAAAGACAGGAAATTGACAAAGGCAAAGAAACTGGAATTTCCTTTGTAAATAAATAGTAATAAATAAATAGTAGTTTTTTCACACTTGTAAAAGTTAAATGTAAATCTCAGCAGTCTGAGATGACTCAATATAAAGGGGTTACTAAAAATTTTAGAGGTGTTTGACTGTTGTTGTAGAAAATTATTCAAGAGGGAAATATGTGCTTGGTGGACTACCAGTCTGTCCTGGAAGAGTTCAAGAATGATCAGAAATTCATTTCATGAATACTTTTTATTAATAATACTCATGTATCACCTCCACATGTTATCAGATAATGGCTGGGAATGTGTTAGGTTAATGCTACTCTTCTCCCTCTTCTTCTTCATCTCCCATGCTGTCAAAAAAAAGGAAATGTCCACTGATGAAAAAAAAAAATTTATTTGGCTTAAATGCAGGCCCCAGTAAAGTTAGAATTCTTCTCCCTCTTCTTCTTCATCTCCCATGCTGTCAGTGCCAACTTCCTCATAATCCTTCTCCAGAGCAGCCATATCTTCCCTGGCCTCTGAGAACTCTCCCTCCTCCATCCCCTCTCCAACGTACCAGTGGACGAAGGCTCTCTTGGCATACATGAGGTCAAACTTGTGGTCGAGACGGGCCCAGGCTTCAGCGATGGCTGTGGTGTTGCTCAGCATGCACACGGCCCTCTGCACCTTGGCCAGGTCTCCTCCAGGAACCACAGTTGGAGGCTGGTAGTTGATGCCCACCTTGAAGCCTGTGGGGCACCAGTCCACAAACTGGATGCTGCGCTTGGTCTTGATGGTTGCGATGGCCACATTGACATCTTTGGGCACCACATCACCACGGTACAGCAGACAGCAGGCCATGTATTTGCCATGACGAGGATCACACTTCACCATCTGATTGGCTGGCTCAAAGCAGGTGTTGGTGATGTCGGCAACTGACAGCTGCTCATGGTAGGCTTTCTCAGCAGAGATGACTGGAGCGTAGGTGGCCAGAGGGAAGTGGATACGAGGGTAGGGCACCAAGTTGGTCTGGAACTCTGTCAGGTCAACATTCAGCGCTCCGTCAAAGCGAAGCGAGGCTGTGATTGAAGACACAATTTGGCCGATGAGCCTGTTTAGGTTGGTGTACGTCGGCCTCTCAATATCAAGGTTCCTGCGGCAGATGTCGTAGATGGCCTCGTTGTCCACCATGAAGGCACAGTCAGAGTGCTCCAGGGTGGTGTGGGTGGTGAGGATGGAGTTATAAGGCTCCACCACAGCTGTGGAAACCTGGGGGGCTGGGTAGACGGCAAACTCAAGTTTTGATTTCTTTCCATAATCAACAGAGAGTCTCTCCATTAGCAGGGAGGTGAAACCTGAGCCAGTGCCGCCGCCAAAGCTGTGGAAGATTAGGAATCCCTGTAGGCCAGTGCACTGATCCGCCTGAAAGGAATCTAACTTCAGTTAATCAAAATCATAGCCCAGCTGCACATTTCTAACATGGAAAAGTCACCACTTTGTCTATATCTTCTAAAAATGCAATCCCTGTTCTTTCTTTTTTTTTGGTATGAAATCAGCTAAAGCATACATGCCTTTTGGAAAGCTCAAAATTGTGTTAAATGCTCCACCTGCCCTACAGTTGAGTGCTACACAGCTCTTACCAGTTTACGAGTCCTGTCTAGAACCAAATCAATGATCTCCTTGCCGATGGTGTAGTGTCCACGGGCATAGTTGTTGGCAGCATCCTCCTTTCCTGTAATCAGCTGTTCAGGGTGGAACAGCTGACGGTAAGTTCCTGTACGCACCTCATCTGTAAAGAGACAGTATAAAATAGGGAGTAAGAACTAACCCTATGTGAAGAAAATGCTAAACATTGTATTTGTTCTGATATTCTAAATAAATAGAAAACATTTAAGCTGTAATAATTTGCTTAAAGTCAGAGTATCACATATGTACTGTAGGTTCGTGAATACTGACCGATGACAGTCGGTTCCAGGTCGACAAAGATGGCTCTGGGAACATGCTTTCCTGCCCCTGTCTCACTAAAGAAGGTATTGAAGGAGTCATCTCCTCCTCCAATAGTCTTATCACTGGGCATCTGTCCATCTGGCTGGATACCATGTTCCAAACAGTACAGCTCCCAGCATGCATTGCCCATCTGGGCTCCGGCTTGGCCAACATGCATAGAAATACACTCACGCTAAATAAAAGAAGGAGGAGAGGTTGGTTAAATAAGGGACTATCAGCATAGAATAGTACATCCATGGTTAGTGACTTGTACAGCTTGTACCTGTGTACTCCAGGTAAATTCACAAGTATGTTCAGATCATGTCATGCTATTTGTCATAAAAAGGAACATAGAGCATCTGTTCTATTTCCTCAGCGCACCGGGATCTCTTTTGAATTTTATGTTTAAGGACAATCTTTGTTATGATGTCTGCTCTCAGGTTAGAGAGAAGACAACCTAGAAGAAACTTTGACTGCTGCACCCTGTACACCAGAACAGAAAAGTGCACATGAGCAAGTATTACTGCTATTGTAGCAATCTTATTGATTACTACAATAGAATCCAGAATATGTGGGAAGGAACTATAGCTACAGATTAAATTTATTTTTGACGTCCCCTTCTAGGAGCCAGTTTTAAAGAGTTAAAAAAAAAAAAGAAACATGCAAAGTATGTGGCAGACAGGAAAGCCATGCCTCATGGAGACGGGAAATCTCTCCCCTCCTCCTCCTCATTCCTCTGTCTCCTCCCTTTCCTCATTCCTTCGCCTTTTGTGTGTCTCTCCTCCCCCATCCCGTCCAGCTGCATAGAGCTGAGTAACAGTCAGCGATGTCTCTCTCTCTCGCTCGCTCCACATTTCCCTCAAATCAAAAGCTCCTAACAGCTGCAAAATGGCTGCCAACTAACTCATACTGCCCCTGGCCAGACCACTCCTCTTTTCTCTATTCCTTCTATCCATCCCCCCACTGCCACGATTACCCTGATCATTCCTTCTTACTCAGGAAAACTGTAAATCCTCAACAAACACATGATGAAGAATCCAGCTATTTTTTTTTATCTCTTAAATGTTTCCTGCTTTATGTCTAGCTGTAATATATAAAACAACTAAACATAAAGTCTCACTCAGAGAGCTACGAAGTCTGTCATCTGGCCTAGATTGTTAAGGAGTACAGAACTGACTTATGAAGTCTCTCAGTCTTATATTGTATAACTACTGCAGTGCATCATTCCTACTCAATCCACACCAGACATGCCTTAAAAAGTTTTATTAGATAATTTCAGCTCAAAACTACTGTCACCTAGCAGTTTAAAGAGGGCCAGATGTGTAATGCTAAGAAACAGAAGCAAAAGGAGAATGAAGAAAAAAGAGAATTAAGTTTTTATTTAACGTCATCAGCTGAGCAGTTACTCACCATTTTGTCTGCTTGTCCTTCGACTGACGTTGAGGAATCAGACACAAGGAAGACGTGCAGGGGAGAGGCAGAGCTAGGGCTTATATAGGCAAGGATAAGGAAGGGGCAGGCAGGAAACCACAGCAAGCAACTGCACAGCTCACTGGAGGGAGGGGGCAGCAGTTAAAAAGAGTGG